CAGAAATTCAATATAAGAACAGAATATTAAAAGTCATCAGAGAAAAGAAACAGATCATCTATAAAGGAAAACCCATCAAAATCATGGCAGACTTCTTAACACAGACCATCAAATCAAGAAGAGCTTAGAGCAAAGTATTCCAAGCCCTGAAAGAAAAAGACCTCCAGCCCAGATTGATGTACCCTGAAAAAATGTCTTTAGAAATTAATGGAGAAACAAGATGCTTCCATGACAAAGAGTAGCTGGGAGAATTTGCAACCACCAATCCAACTCTACAGAGAGTACTGAAGGACATAAGAGAGAGAGAAGGAGAGAGAGAGAGAAAGACAGAGAAAGTGAGAGAATACCAGGATTTCAGGAACAGTGGCAGAGAGGCCTCAATGAATGGGGCAGAAAGTGGAATGAAGGAGAAAAGCAAACAACTAATGGCAGAAAAAGAGCACAACAGAAATGAGGCAGAGAAGGTTGGTTATAATCTCTAATATAGATGACTCTGATACACTAAAAAAAATGAAAACCAAGAAACACAGGCAGAGTAGATCAGGAGATAGTGTCCGCCAAGATGCTCTGTATAGAAAATATAATTAACCTGAAAAAGGGTTTATGGACCAAAAATCAAATATGAAAAAACAATGTTCTATGTGACATGGAACCCAGCAAACTAGAGAGTGATAGGGACAACTTGACCAGCACCTGCAGATAGGTTGAAAAGACAGGTTTTATAGATAAAGGAATACAACTTGAGATCAAGTCCAGGAATGAGAAGGTTCAGAACCACTTAGGTAAATAGCAGGTTCCCCCCCACACCAGTCTAAAAACTGAGGAAGTGGTGGGACCCAAAATGCACAGTTCACCCTGTGAGACTGAAAGGGGAGGAATAGTCTAAAAAAAGAAGGCAGAGTATATTGTTAATAATGTATCAGGATTTAAAACCCACATTACTTGAACCTCTTAGTTCAGATAGATGATATTCTATCCCAGTTTGTATACTTGCACTAGATTTGAGGGCACAGACAGCTATCCCAAAAATAGCAGGATATAGTATAGTTATCATTCTTAATTTCCTATTAACTTAATCTGACGCCCTGTATAACCTAAACTGTTTTACCATGACTGATCTTAGTTGAATCTGGTTTGCTAGATTGCTATTTGGTATTGACAGATTTTATTCAAATCTATTATGATTAATAGTATCAAGTCTGAGAGTACAAGCAACTACACTGAAGATGACAAGATTCACCACAATATCCATTCTGGTTTGATCATTACCCATTTTTGAAGTTTTACACTGTCTACAAAGTTTTGTTTTTATTAATATTGTTATGTACTGCTATATTCAATTATACTATGTCTGATGATATAGACAGTTCTATTGCAGATAACAAGAGACAATACAGTAACTGTTGTAGATCACCTTGTACTGTGGTTTTATATGACTTTTTCATATCCTGTTTTTATAGGAATATGCTTTGTTTTGTTTTTTCTTGCTTTGTTTTGTTTCTCCCTCTAATGTAGAAAGGATAGAAATACATGTTAAGACTCATGTATATGTAGGACCTATAAACAGTTTATGAAAACTGTTTCTATAATGCATGATGAAGTGACCAACTACTTTGAAGAAAAAGACACTATAGTACCCAGTGCTGATCCCATAGTGTTATGATGTGAAATCCAGCAATACTATTATTCTTTGTTCAGAGTAATTTTAGCCTGTTTTGTTTTGTTTAATCTTAACATATATGAAGGTATGGACAGCTGTTTTGAAGAGAATGAGAAACACAATGATAGCCATTGTTGACCTCCCTGTTGTCTGATCTTGAAGACCTAAAATGCATTCCTCATCTTGTTCAGATCAGTTGTATTCTATGTTGTTTCATATAAATTCTCTGAATGTGAATATACGGTCAACTGTTTGGAAGAAAACAGACAATAGGATAGATAGTGAAGATCTCTGATTATCTGGCTTTGAAATTTATGTCTCTTACATTGCTTTCTTATGTTCTGTTTTGCTCTGTTCTGTTGTGTTCAATTTTACCCTCTTTAAAATAAAATTAAAAAGTAGCATTTTTGTACATCATAATTAACTTGATGAGAAACAAATTTTCGAAACAGTACATTCATGAGCTTCAAGAAAAACAAAATGCCTAGGAACTAAAGCCAACCAAGTATGTTAAAGAGCTCACAAAGAAAACTGCAGTAATTTGAAGAGGAAGATTGAAGAGGACATTGGAAAATGAAAAGTTGTCCTCTGCTTCTGGATAGGCAGAGCCAGTATTGCCAAAATGGCCATACTGCAAAAACTGTTAGATTCAATGCAGTTCCAATCAAAATACCCACAGCAAATTTGCAGAACTAGAGAAAACAATTCTAAGGTTCATATGGAGCCAGAAGAGAACCAGAAGAGCAAAAGCAATTTTTGGCAACAAGAGCAAAGCAGAAGGCATAGCAATACCTGGCTTCAAGCTATACTGCAAAACAATACTGATAAAACCAGCATGTTCTGGAACAAAAACATACCTGGGTCAGTGGGACAGAACAGAGGATAGAGAAACTTCCCCAGACATGTTTAGCTATTTGATCTTTGACAAAGAGGCCAAAGTTTATGTTAGAGCAAAGTTAGACTATTCAGCACATGGTATTGGGAAACCTGTGTATCTGTTTGTGGAAGGTTGAAACTGAACCCTTCTCTCTCATCATATACTAGATTAAAATTAGACAGGCTCAAAGATATAGACATTCAAACAGAAACATTAGGCTTACTGGCAGATAAAATACTAGTAGACATAGGTATAAGAAAGGATTTTCTAACTAGAACCTCAGTTGCACAAAAAGTAACAGCAAGATTCAATAAATGGAATTCTGTCATACTTAAAAGCTTAAGTACAGCAAAAGAATTCAGTCACTAGAGTAAAGAGATAGCCAACAGGGTGGGGAAAAATCCTTGCCAGCTACTCCTCAGACAGAGGGCTAATATCTAGAATGTACAAAGAACTAAAGAAAAATTTAAACCACCTATATGTAAGGATCTAGTCAAGAAATGGGCCAGAAGAATAAACAAACATTTCGTGGAGGAAGAACTACAAATGGTTAAAAGGGTGGATCTCTTGCAACAGGGAAGAGGAACAGGAAACAAGGGCAAGGGGTGAAGAGGAGGGGAAGGGGAAATAAGGATAAAGATGTGCCTTGTGATAATGTGATCTAAGATTAATAACATTGATATGGATGAAAATTGGGGTGGGGAAACTGGAGAAGGAGGGAGAGAAGGGGAAGGGTATTTAAAAAAAGAAGAAATAAGCTGTGGTGTATAATCATCCCCCAAGGTGACACTATCAGTGTCATGTTGTGCAAATATGTACTAATAAAATTTTTAAAAACATGAGGGGTACACAGGATTTCTTTTGAGGAGAATTGAAATGTTTGAGTGTTAAATAGTGGTAACTAAGTTTCTGGTTATTGTTCAGGTTCTGTGAGTCACACTAGAAACCACTGAGTGGAAAGTCTGAAAGCGTAAGTGTTTGGCATTTGGATCACATCTCAATCAAGCTGTTGTTTAAGAGGGACAGCTTTGTGGAAGATTGTTCCTGGGGCTTTCCATTGTTCTTTAGAGAAAGCCCAAAATGCTTAACAAGGACAGCTTAAATTCAGGCTGGTTGTTGCTCTGGTTTGTCATTTTCCACCTTGTGCACCTGTACTTTTCCTTCTTCGTTAGGAAAGTGGGTGTTTCTCTGTGTGGTAATCTGGGTGCACATGCAGCAGTCCTTCCTAGTGCTCCAAAGGCTAGCGCAGAGGGTGTTTGTGCCTGCTGGCCTCTGCTGGGCACCCGCTCTCCACCCTCCCATTGGTATCTTCCTGCCCCAATCTCAGCTCAGATGCTTTTTCCTTTGAGCACCTTTCGTGGCCCCCAGACGAGCTCAGCCCTGCTTCCTGGTGCTCCTGTCACCTTACCCTTCACAGAAAGCCCTACGGTGTTCATGTCCATAGATCTGTGTGGTTCCTGGATTGTTGTACTTGGTTCTCTGCACCTTTCACTCTGTGAGTGCAGAGACTGCATCTCCTGAGCTCAGCTTGATGTGTGGACGGGTCCAGCACTCAATTCTGCTGCTGAGGCAGTGAATGGACTTGTATCAGATGTGGGGGGGGGCCTCTGTGAATATCAATGTTTTAAATGACCCTGAACTCTGTAACCTGTCTTTCTGTGTGGATTTAACTGCATAAGGCTTAGAGTGACTAGAGTAGAGGCATCCTCAGCTGTCATAGTAATGTAGGGCCCTGTGTCTGGCCTGGGGCCGCACATGTCCTTGATTGTTTCTCAGCATGTTGTCGTTTTGTTCGTATTTAAGGGTGTGGCTCAGAGGTGCTGAATCAATGGTTAGCCAGGCTTTCTGCTCCCTGTGTATCTTAGTCAACTACCCGTGTGAATTCTGTTAAAGGGCATTGGGCCACGGTGACATAGAAGCCAGCAGCTTTGCCTATAGTGGTATATTCTCTTGATTCCCTGCAGGAGGATACACAGTGGGTCTTTGTAACATAGCAGGTGACCTGTGATGCCAGGAAGCTGCTTCCTGCTGCACTGTTGACACAAGCACATCAACGAAGTGCCCCCAACTCTGGAGGGTGTAGCAGTGCCAGGTCACAAAATCTCATCCTCTCCTTCTCTCTCAGGGTAAACTTGAGGAAGGGTCCCTGCAGTCATCAGTGTCTCCCAGTCTTTTTTGCAAGTCCTGACCTGTAATGGGTTGTAAAGACAAGTGTGTGGGTCATGATAGGCTCCTTTCAAAAAAGGGTGAAAGGAAAAACATTAGACACCATGTATGACGTCAACTGTAATGCACATAGTGAAATTAACGGTTCTGTTGTAAAACTTTGCTTTCAGTGCTTGTGGCAAAATAGAAAATGTATTTCTCTCTTATAGTTAAAATAGCTGATTAGCACAGCTTAGCAGCATATCCTACTTTAACTTTCCAGTATCATTATTGCCTTTGCTTTGCTTTTTCTTAAAGGTATGCGAAGTCCAGTCAGATCAAGACTGTGTCAAGCAGCAAGATATTTTTTAAAGGAAGTAGATTTCGATATAGGTGGGTACACATGGTTCCACTTAGCAATGGATTCGGGTAAGGCTATTCACATGGAAATGTTCTGCTTGTAATGCTGTGAGGCTTTGCCCCTGCATTAGCTACTTCTGCAGCCCCTACGTACCCCTTCTGTTTCCACTTCATTAAGTCTATGGAAAGGGCACCTCTACCTCTGTCGTGACTTCCCCTGTGGAAGAAAGGGAGATGTGGAGCATAGAGCTGGCTCGGCCTGTGGTGAAGTAAAAAACCCAATGTATGTGTACCCCTCCTTCTATGAATGTGCACATAGCTTGTGTTTTTGTCTTTTTGTAGTGGCAAAGTTGCTAAAGAAGTGGTGGAGGCAAGCTCCAGAATCCAGAGGGAGCCTCCTGAGGTGCACAGGTGAGCGGAGATTGCGTGGCTTCTGGGATAGACAGAGGGATTGAAGGGCGGCTTTCCATGGGCAAGGGGGGAAGCTTGGGGGAGCACCTGCATAACATATATGAGGCCCTAGGTTTGAACCCAAATGCCACACACACACACAAAAGCCTGTTTTTCCCAGGTCTCTAATCTCCCTGTGTGCAGTGACACCCAGAATTAGGTAAGGACGCTGTCATCTCCCTAGAAGTGTCCCCTAGATTTGGCTGGGCTGACATGAATGCTGCCAAGCTCCCTTTTGAGTTACATGCTCTGGGCACAATGATCAGGCCTGGGGTGTCAGGGAAACCAGCAGATGATGTGCCATGCTGTGACCAGGCCCCATTGTATGCTCTCTTAGAACTGCCCCATTCCCATCTTGTTCCTGTAGCGTGGCCAGTCCCTGGGGCTTTGCTCACATGGACAGGCTTACTTGCTGTCAGATTCTTTGCTGTCAAGGCCACACGGAGGAACTTGGCCACTATCTACGTAAGGGCAACACTTTTACTAAAGTGGCGATCTGTATTCAATTCTTTTTTTATATATACTATAATTTTGCTTCAATCTCACAAAATTAGCATAGAGGTAATTTAAATGAACAATAACAGTAAAAACAGCAGAGAACTGAAAAATCTACAAAGGAAAATATATCTAAAACATAAAAGTCAACATTCATTAGTGTTTCATCTTCAGTTTTGATTGACACTTAATGCTTGCAAATTTTTAAACAAACTTTTAAATCAAGACTTTACTGAAGAGATTTCAGCACCAGCACTAAGATCTGTACATTCAGTTTGTAGCTGACTTATTGGCCATTTACAGAGTACATGGTTACAGACATGCCACAGGTCAGATCACAGTGCTGAGGACTGAGGATAGCAGTACCTTCCTGCAACTAGAAGTCTACATTCAATTCTTGGGAATTAAATATTACCATGACTAAGCTGGACTTCACCACAGCTTATACAAATCATTGCACGTCCCAAACTGCAAACATGGTGGATATTGTAAAGCTGAACATTCTCACCATAACCCCCTGCCCCTATTAGGCAAGATCATCATAAGCTAAAGTTTTAGAGTCCTCATTTGCTGATTACCTGTCATCCCCATCTTTGGGGACTGGCAGTGTGGCCTTTGTGCTTCAATTTGTCAGGTATCTGTTTCAGCTAACCAGTTGAGCTGGGCACCACTCCTTGCTCTGGGGTTAGGGGCAGCCCACAGTAATGAGACCAGGCCAGCTGCTAGGGGCATCTGGAAGCTGACTGCTGTTCCTGGGAGATACCCCGCAGACACTCACAAATTGTAACTCCTGTGAGCCTTCCATCCAGTCCCTCCTTCTTTCAGGAGGGAGCTGAGGGGCTTGGGAAGTGGGGCCCATGGCCCGAGGGACGTTGGTGGAACGCCTGAACACCTAGAGCCCTCCCTTCAGGGAAACTTCTTTTAGTGCCCCTGCCCTGCTCCAAATTGAGGTCATTCTGCAAAGCAGAAAGGAAAAAACAAATAATAAAACAGCCCATTTCAGTCTTTCCAGGATACTTGGATTAGAAGTAACTTCAGGGATCCCTTAATCTGCTGCTTCTAGTGTATTACCAGAAAGCTTGAATCTTGAACAAGTGACTATGCAGGTCTTAAGTACTTTTGGTGGCAGACTTACACGTAGAACTGCAGTGTCTTGGATCTGAGCCCTGAGTCCTTTTCTCCTCAGCACTCGCCACCCTGAAAGCTTTAGGTATTTGCTTAGAGGCTGATAAAATAGAGGCAGAGCCACCCCAAGCAGCACAGCTTGGGTTTTCTTTTTCCAGCTTGATGCTTTACTCTTTGATCTTAAAAAAAGGAAGAAAAATACTTGGTGCTGCAACAGTTCTGCTTTTTAAACAGTGTTTTTAGACCATTCATGGATTAATGAGAGAAGAAAAGAATGCAGTACTTCCCTTATAAATTGAGGTTTTCATGGTTTAAGAAAATCAAGGTGTTCTAGCTCAGGGCTTCTTAAACCTTAATTTGCACATGGACCACATGCAGGTACTGTTAAAACCAAGTTCTGGCCAGGGATATAGCTCAGCGGCACAGTGCCTGCCTGGCCAGTTCAAGGTCCTGAGTTTGATTTCTGGTACCAGTAATAATAATAATAATAAAAACCAGGTTCTGCTTTAAACAGCCAGGTGCTGTCTGGGAGTTTGCATTTCTCCAGAACTTGAGAGGAGGCTGTGGCTGCTCTACACTCACCTTTTAAGTAGCCACTATCTCAGTGTTATGTGTCAGGTGTGAAGTGAGCAGGTTGGCCAGAGTGAGAGCTTTCTTTGGAGGGACTGAACCTCCAAATGTGACAGAGAAGTGAAGATGTGCTGAGGAATTATCAGTTCATAGTTTACCCTTTCTGGAGTATTCTGAAATAACTCCAGATACAAATACAGAACTAGAGGCCCTTGAGGCCTGCTATACATGCAGGCTCTTTCTCCCCACCCTTTTGTGTATACAAAAGACCACTCTATGTGTACCCTCAGGACACTTCTCTGGTCCTCAGTTCTTTGACAGCACCCTTGAAATCTCTGGCAGTACTGGGAAGACTGTAGTTAATAAAACGATGCGCGCATAGCCAATTTAGGAGGCCGGAGCTCTGTCTGTCTTGGTCCTCTCTGTTCCTGCATCTCCTAACAAAGTACTTGATGCACAGTGAATGTGAAGGCATGTCTACTGAATGGACCTGTGCCTGAGAGTGTGGGACGGCAGCTGTTCCCATCTGAGATCTGTCCGAGATGCTTCCCTGAGGACCAGCCCTCTCCAGAGGCAACTTTGTGGCCATCACACTGGTGACATGTGATATTTTCATGCTAGCAGTTTTTCCTTTCCATCCAGCTGCATGATAGGAAATCATTCCTCTAGGACAAGTGTTTCATTTTCAGATTTTTTGAGCTTCTTTTTATTGTTTATTCGTACATGTTTGCAGTACATAATGATCATATTCATCATGTGAAACAGCTTCTTTGATACTACTGTCAAAAGTGACGCTGTGAGTTTCCCTCATGTGATGGGCATCCAGCCTGACTTAGTCTGGGATGATGACCACAAGGCCCTTATCAATCATCTTTCCTTATACCTGAGATTCTGCTCCTCAAAGGACAGCGAGTTCATGCACTTATACTTCTGAGGTGTATGAGTGTAGAGATAAACACACACAGACTGAGGACGTTGTTTTGCTATTACTTATTTCTTCCTCAAAAAGAGCAAAGGTCAGCTGATGTTAGCTCATTGATCTTTGTTGATGACAAAATCCCCCAGTAAAGTTCTCCTGGGGGTTAAAGTACTTTTAAAAGCATAGAGTGCCATGTAGATGCAAAGAGATCCTATTATCATCTCTCATCCAGAATTGGAAAGCTAGAATCTGAAAGACACATGCATAGTAACATGCTGGGCCACCCACAGTAGTGTCTTTCTTAAAGTTGCACAGCCTCATTGCAATCTCAGTTTCTCCTTCTGTGAAGACAGCATTTCCCTTAACTATGGTACAAGTATGTAAAGAAAGTTGAAGTAGTGTGTACATATCTCTTTGCAAACTGGAAAAGGGCCATTTGGGTTCTGGCATTACATTTGTCCTTAGGACACTGTACTGATGACTCTGGCTTTAATGAAAGCCTAGATCAGTCAGCACATTTTAAAAGGTTGCAAGGGGGAGGATTAGGTGGAAAGAGGAAGTAGGTGAAAGGAGATGGTAGGTGTATTAGTGCATTTCAGCTGCTATAATAAAATCCAGCAGGCCAGGCGGTATATAAACAAGAAAAGCTGTCTTCTTACTTTAGGTGGCTGAGAAGTCCATGATCAAAACACTGGCAGAGCTGGGATGTTGTGACATCTACTTTCTTCTAAATGGTGCCTGCTCACTGTGCTCCTAGATGATGGAAAGGCAAAACAAACTCCCCCAGAACTCTTTTATGAGGACAGTAGTCCCACTCACAAGGGCTTTGTCCTTGTGATCTTACCACCTCCAAAGGCCCCTTCTCTTAGTACCATCTTGTTGGAGATTAGGTTTCAGCAAATGAGTTTTCAGGAAATGCAAACATGCAGATCATAGCAACGGGAAAGATGGAGACTTCCACAGCAACTCCCAACTGTGCTTTCTCTTTCTCTAATGCCAGGCTGGAGGCCTGTGTTTTTTATGTTTTAGGGAAATCCCCCGTTGTATCCATCTTTGGTTTCCTCTGTGTTGTGCACTTACAGGGGAAATAATGTTCCTCTTGCTGTGGTGCTTCTGGAGAGTCTCAGGGTTGTGATTTGCTGTGGGAGTCACCTTGTCTCTCCTCGGCAGACTACAGCTATGAGTCCAAGGCCCTTGGCCTGCAACAGAGCAGCAGGGGGTGGGGAGTGCGGAGCCTGAGTCAGTGTCTCCTGAGCACTGGTGCCAAGGAGGTCAGCCCTCATGAGCTCAGCCTTCCCCAAATTGGGTAGCTGCTAGACACGGCCACGCTGGGTGGGGCAAAACATTTGCTATCTCATGCTAAAGGATGTAGGTAGGGTGACTGTTCAGGTTTGGTATGACAAAGGCAGTGACTTCCGGGGGGGTGTGTGTGCAAGAATAGCAGTTTCTAGGATGTAGCCCAGCAGATGCATGGGTAGAAATGGAGGAGAGCACTTCAGAGTCCCTTTTGCAAGAACAGATAGAAGGGCTGCTTCTGCAGAAAACAGCCTACCACACAAAACAGGACAATATGCTGTACTCTGCAGAGCTAGAGTCTCAATCACAAATGGCCACAGGGCCAGGGCGGGGAAACACGGGAGAACTAAGAAGTGGGGAACATTCCTGATAAAAGAAGGAAGTGCTCATGATGAATTTTAATCTCTCTTCCTCGCCTTTCCTCCTTCTGTCTATGAGGGTTTTCCTTATTCACATTCACCCATCAGTTCCACTGTGCTCACCGGGACTTGCTCTGGCCTCCCCTTCCCTGGGACGTCATCCCTGGCCCTCTTGTCTCTTGAGAAGGGTCAGGTGCCCCCTTTGTGCTCCCAGGAGACCCTTGGCCATCCATCTCCTTCATTAGATGTTTTCCAGGGGTAGCTATAGCACATTAATGAGTCATGAAGTGAAGTAGTAGTCAAGACCAGCATTAGAAACAAATGATATGAAATTTTAAAAAGGGATGCACATAACTGTGCTTATTGTTGTGTGATTGTATGTCTTTGTGCATGTGTGTGTATGTGTGTGGATATAGAAAGGTGATAGGAAATATATTTCATAGTGTGGATCTCAGATGAAGCAATAAAAAAAAACACTGGTCTAACTAGTGAGTTACTACGGGGAGAGCAGCAGCTCCCTGGAATGGGTCAGACTGTCCGCTGTGTACATATCAACTGCAGCACAGGTGGTTCCAGAAGGAATAATTAAGGGCTCCAGGTGGAGCAAAGCCCCATACACTTACTGTGTACCCAGTGCCAACTGTGGACCTTCTGACCAGAGATGCTGACAGGAGTCCTGCTGTTCCCTCCCCCACTCCACCCCTCAGTGAAATGCTCAGGCTCGAAGGCCATGAGGGGAAGGGTACCCAGCCAGTCTGGAATGGCAGCCATATCAAGTGTGGATCGCATCCAGTTCCTACCATTTCAGACCTGAACACCCTTTAACAGGATGCCAGCTGAGGCACCATGAGGCACCCGGCCAAGTTAGGTCAGTCTCTGCCTTTGAGAGCTTAGCAAAGTGGGGCTAATTTGTATACCAGTAACTGCAGAGAGACAGGGGACAAATACAGTGAGCTGTGAAGGAAGGGAGAGTGATATGAGAAAGAGACAGGCAGGGAGAGTCTGATGCTGTTGTGAGGGGCAGTCCAAGAAGTCCTCAGAGGGCAGGAGACATCTGACACCATGCCCCAAGGATGGGAGGGCAGTGTGCCAAACCTTCCCATAGGCCTCACCTTCCTAAATTGGCTCTTCTGCTGGTAGCAGGTGCGCAGGTCCCCAGCACAGCTGGCCATTCTGCAGAGACACCTGCACAGCTGCCTTGGCCTCTGTTGCCCACTGTGGCCACTTGTGAGCATGCACCTTTCCACAAAAGAAACCTAGCTGGGTGCCCTGACTGGCAGGCAGCAGGTGTGAACAGTGATGTTAACCACTGGGTGTCCAGCAGTGCCAAGAAGCTCTTTACCCAGCACATCTGTGCTGTCCATCTGGCAGGAAAGTTGGCAGGGGTCTTTTACACGCAGCCCCACCCTTCTTCACCTTTCTGTGCATCTGTTTCAGCAATAGCTCACTCCTGGGTCTGTTTTCTGTGTCTTTAAATTCCTTGTGTTGTGGCCCAGCATGTGTGGGTATGAGGGTCCTTGGGAGCTACTTTTTCTTTGGCTGGGTTGTAGTGGGATACACAGACATTTATTAGGACCTCAAGGGTATGCAGAGCTTTACTGCTGTGGGGTTCCACCATCCTTACCGCTGTGTCCAGAGTTCCAGTGTGGGCAGCACTGAGGCAGAGGCTGGTGTTCCCTGTGGACACTGACTCCACCTGGCCATGTCTGTTTGCAGAGTCAGCATCACTCAGAGCCGCAGTTCCCACTCCTTGAACAAGCAGCTCATCATCAACATGGAGCCCCTGCAGCCCCTGCTTCCTTCCCCCATCGAGCAGGATGAGGAGCTTCCCCTGGGTGAGGGTAAGTTCATCCCAGTCCCTCATCGCAGGCCACTGAGGGGCCAGGGAAGTGATTCTGTGTACACTGGTCACATGTGGGGGCAGGGGGCAGTGTGAGGCTTGAACTGTGTTTGTAACAAATAGACTTTTATGTGTGTGCAGCTGGAAGGTTGTGTTACAGTGGGAGTTCTACTGGGTTCTTCCAAAAGGTTCACTCATGCAAAGCATTTGTAAAATTCTTTGTGACAGCAGCTGTGATGTTACAGTGGCAAACCACAGATGGCTATTTAAGCTAAGTTTAGATCATAATATATATATGAATGAAAGGGTTCAAAAAATGCAGGAGAGGGGGAAGGGAGGGATTTAAAAGAAATTAAGTGTGATGTAAACATGCCAGTTCCCCATGATGAATGTAATCATATAATACAAACATGTACTGATAGAATGTAAATATTTTAAAAAACAAAATCAAAGAAAGCTCTCTCTCTCTCTCTCTCTCTCTCTCTCTCTCTCTCTCTCTCTCTCTGTGCCCGCCATTAACCTATATCCTCAGCCCAGAAGGAGCTGTTTTCAGCTCCAGTTACAGTTGCATTGTGGAATTCTAAGGAATTCTTCATCGGTGCCTGTACACTGGTCATCCTCTCTCCGCCTCGGTAATTCCCCAACCTCATTTCCTTTTCCATGGGTCTCTTTTCTGACAGTTTTGATCCAGGCTAAATGTATGATGTCCACTTCAACTCCAGATTTGTTACATTTTTAAAAGCCTGTATGTTTGTGGGCTGCCGGGTCTCCCTCTTCCTCCACCACCCCTTCCCTCCTTCCTTCCATCTTTCCTTCTGCCTCCCCTCCCTCCTTTTCCTCCCTTCCTTCATTTTTCTTTCTTTGTAAGAACTTTGCTTACTTTGGAGAATCTTACTACACTGCTTTCTGCTGACACTTGGTGAGGCAAATCTCACACTCTTACTGATTTAATAGTAATCTAAAAACAAGTATGCACAAAAAAGTTACTGGAACCCAGAATACAGACATACCATTTTTTTGCTTAATTTTATGTGATCTTTTTATTTCACCATTGAAATTCTGGGCAATTTCAAGAAGCTGGGTCTCCCTGTCCCCAAGCAATCACCTCCATCTCAGCTTCAAGTTGAGGATTCCTTTCATAGGGGGAAACTTTTCAGTTCATAGTAAAAATTGGAACCGGCACACAGATACCTGGGGAGAGACAGCAGCAGCCAGTGCACACACAGCTGTGAAGGGTTTTAGTAGATTTTTCCGGGACAGTCACTGCAATGTTAGAAGGGGAACTGGTAACAGGATGCCCCCAGTCCGGTGTGTAGAGGGAAAGTGTGAACCAGGTAGGTGTCTCCGAAGATGCTTTGCTCTCCTGCCCAGCTGGACCACAAGAGTGGCCACTGTGAGTACACTCTCTTATAATAAACATGGCTGTCTGTCTTGACAACTATTCTGTAAGTTCATTGCTAAATTAATTTTCTTAGCTCAGAGGTTTCTGGATCCATTTTGCTTGTCTTTTATGTGTTTTCAAGGAAAAGCAAAGTGGCTTTTGTTTCTGATCTCTAATGTTTGTGGGGGCTGCATCTCACATTCTGCAGCACTATTCTGAGTGAAGATCACTTTTTAGAGGACTGTGATCCTCCCAAGTATGAATGAAGAAGGATGTGACTAATGGGGAGAAGAGGAGCGGGGCGAGTTCACTCACAGAATTGTGACCGTTGTGTGAGAAGATGAGCCTGTAGGAGGAAATTTGGAAGACTGGACAGAGTGAGCAGGAGGGATGAGGAGCGCAGAGTTCCAGGCCAGGTGAAGGGGGAGCTCGGTGAGCTTTCCTCTGAGCTCTTCACCCCATTCGTGAGGCTGCTTCCTTTTGCTTCCTTTTCCATGGCAAGGTTCCATCGCTGAAACCTAGCCTCATCTTCCACATAACAACTGCATGCACAGCAGATGATAAACCATCACAGTTAAATGCAGTAACATTTTAAAATCTCATTATGCAGAAATCCATACGTTGCTTTTTCAATTTTCCCAGTTGTTTGAAAGCACTATTTTAAATTCTTCCATCAGCTGCAAAACTAAACTGATAGATCTTGGCCTTAAAAGTTCAAAAAGCTCCTTTAATATCTAGATGTTTTCTCCAGATGTAGTATCTTACAAGGCATGTCTGTGAGATTTAGAGATGAGGAAAATCATAACAACGGTCAGCATGTATAATTAATTTAAAAATAAGACAAGGGGAAATAAAAATACTGTTAACAGTTCAATTAGGGGGGCTGGGGATTTAGCTCAGCGACATAAGCACCTGCCTTGCAAGCAGGTAGTCGTGAGTTCGATCCCTGGTACCGATAAAAACGAAAAAGACCAAAAAAAAAAAAAAAAAAAAAAAAAAAAAAAAAAAAAAAACAGTTCAATTAGGGTAGGGGGCTGGAGGTTTAGCTCAGCGGCATAAGCACCTGCCTTGCAAGCAGGCAGTCGTGAGTTCGATCCCCGGTACTGATAAAAAGGAAAAAGACAAAATAAAATAAAATAAAATAAAATAACCTGAGGGTCCAGGGATATAGCTCAATGGCACACCTGCCTTGAAGCATGAGGTCCTGAATTTGATTCCAGTACCAAAAAACAAACAAACAAAAACAATAGACTGACTTTTCCAACCCAGTGCAAGAGCAGAGACATCTTTTGTGCCAAGAAGTCCAAGATATGCTTCCCATAGTGCATGAAACTGTGTTCTCTCAACCCCTTTACAACTTAGATAATCTTTAAATTCCTACCCTATGTTTCTTGTCTTCGTCAGGCAGTGGGATTCAGGCAATCCCTGGGCTGAATACTGATGTTACAGGATTATACTTCTCTGATGGAGAACAGAAAACAACAGAGGCAGAGCCCACAACTCTAAGCAAAGATGTTTCCACTTTTTTTTTTTTTTTTTTGGTACCAAAGATCGAACTCATGACCTGGCGCCTGCCAGGCAGGCGCTGATGCTGCTGAGCTAAATCCCCAGCCGCATGTTTTCACTTTTGTAAGTGGGCCTTGTTTTCCTGAGCTTTTGAGCACATGCAGTATGATTAATTGTTCCATCTGTTTTATATTTTGAGTCTCAGTACCTTTTAGGTCTGAGTGAGAACTAAACTTAAGACAACCATTCGTCTATTCTGAACACAGGAACTGTGGTAAATGCAGTTGATATAACTGGCAGACCTCGCTGCCATCCTGCGGTGCACTCACTGTATTGGTGATCTCTGGAGGCTCATGGCAATTTGGGGAAATGATAGTGGGGCTTCGGGCCCAGGGAGGAGGCCCTGCCTCTGCTGACTGAATTATGTGCTCTCTTTTCTGCCTGCCTCACTGGACATCTGTGCCTCGGGCTGCTTGGGGAGTGTCTGGTCCCTTATCTCTGTGGAGCACCTGACATAAAATTGGGGGGCAAAGGAGTGAGCAGAGGCGGTGGTAGGAGAGGGCACTGGGAGTGATCCCGTCCCCCCGACAGCATGTGTGTGTGATTGGAAGAAAGAGGAAACAGGGGCCATGGTGAAGGCCAGCAGGAAGATAGGCAGGGGCAAGGTCGTGAGGAGTCTTCAGGCTTTCTGCCCTCTGCAGACTAATTTGGACCATTTGGGAGGCATTGGGGAGATCCAGGCCTGCAGCTGTCGTCACTGGAATTGTACGGTGAGTCTGGAGGGCTGTGGAAGATGGTGTCCAGGTGAGGATGTGAGGGCTTGAATTTCTCTTTGCAGTGTTACTGACCCTTTAAACTGGGCATTTTCTTGTCAGGGTGATGTCCTGTGCACTGTAGGCTGCATGGTGATATTGCTGCTGTCATAGTGCCTCACCCATCCCAAGAAGGGAACATGTCTCCAGTTTGGCCATGTGTCCCCTGGGGAGTAAAATGGCTCTCTGGCTAAAAGCCACTGGATTGGAAGCAAAAAGACACAGTGAAGAAATGGACAGGGGCTGAAATTGGAGAGGGTGAGAGTGGAGGAGGCAGTGGATTGGAGCTGCTTAGTGACAGCGTTGCTGGGAAGGAGCACTCATGACTCAGTGGCCCATGGGCTCCTGCAGTCCATGTCCTGCCCTGCACTTAGAGCTACTGATTAAAAACCGTCCACCTCTTTATTTCAAACCTGAGACTCACGAGACACAGGAGGGTTTAGTGGCTTATCAGCATCACCAAAGAACCCATGGTAAATAATTCCATTTAGATATTGGAGCCTTTTTGAATCAGAGGTATTCACTGATTTTCTGAACCCCAGACACAAGTGGAAGAAGGAGCTCTGGATGCCTCTGCCTCTGCTGCCTGAGTGTTATTGTCCTCATCTCTGCACCTTGGGTCAGGCTTGCATCTGGGGGAGTTTCAAATCATATATTTTGAAACTGGATTCAAATACAGATCAAGATCAGCATCCCAAGTCATGTTAGGAGATTTATCTCATGAGGAGTTTTTGAAAAATCAGTTTGACTTTTGGAAGCTCCATCTCTGGGAAGTCACAGAGGTCCTGGCATCTGTCCTATCCTGGTGGTTCCATCGGTGTAGGATCCCTGTCACCATGGCTGTCTGAGATCAGCATCACTACTTGTCTGACAAGCTGTTTTCATTCATCCAAGAAGCTCAAGTGTCACAAAAACAGCTGGGCAGGGGATTATTGCCCAGATTAACTCCCTGGGCTTTGGGGAGAACATGTTATCCTATTCACCGTAAGGACAGCTGAGGGACTTTGCTAAACTGACCCGTGTCTGGGCAGAATAAAAACAATTGCTTCCTAGGCACCAGGCAGCTAGAGAAATGTTTTCAGTGCTCAACCCAAAGTCACTTGGTTACTGTGTCCAGGTGAATCAGTGCTGGGGAAAAGTTCAGAAGAGAAAGGCAGGACATGTGAACAGTACCTTAAAGCTTTGGAGAATTTCACAAGGGGAAAAAAGTGAGAATGGGAGTTGTTTTGGGTGAAATCACATTTTAAGGAGTTGTTAATCTAAATACATTAACATGCAAGCAGAGCAAGTGTAGATAGCAAC